CCCCAAAACCCCAAAACCCCAAAACCCCAAAACCCCATGAAGGATAATAATATTTGAAAAAGATGAGAAAAATGAGCTCAGACCTGGAAGATGACGATGATCCTCAAATGGGAAATGGAATTTTCTGCCAGGTAGATAAAATTAAAGATCCTTTTGGCTACTACTACAGTGATGGACTTAGCTACCTGGACAGTACAAACATTCAACAAGATACGGATGAAAAGGATGAAATATCAGAGAATCCCTATCCTTTCCGATTTGATGATCCCTCTGATCAACCAGCCCCAGAGCAAAGAGATAATGCACCAAAAGATTTGGCACCTGAAGACGAACCTGCTGTTGTGTTAGTTTCAGACGAAGATGCTGCTCCAAAAATCCATCCACTTTTCCTAACACCCTTTTCTGAATCTTTACACAAGACGTCAAAACCTATCTCAAATAAGAAAAAGTTTTCAATCTCGAAGTATATACACAAAATCTTCCTAGAGCTCATTGAAAAACAAGAGTTGATCGACCAGGGGTGTTACCATAAGAAAGGGCCTGGTCGTAAAAGAGCTAACCCTAACAGAACTTCTTCTGAACTTTTTACGCTTCTTTGGAATCATATGGATACAAAACTCAGAAGAACTTGTACCAAAAGACTTAACAGAACAGATGCTCTAACTACAGAGTTCATCAGGTTCTGTGAGAAACTTCCATATTTCTTGGTCTTGAACTGCTCCTCTCTTAGTGTCTACAAGAAGTCAATCCCGACCTCTTTCCTTTACAGCTTCCTCGAAAGTTTCACCAGTTTCTCTTCTTCACTAAATTGCTCTAATTTGGACATTGTTAGATCATTGGCAGAATACTCCATGATCTTCTTCCCAAGAAACAAATGTCTTCAAATTATTAAGCTTTTGAAGGAAGAGAACTATGAAGAAAGCTTTTGCCAGAATCTGAAGGAACTATTAGACCTTAGAGAATGCACTTCCAAGAAATCCATCAAGGAGTTCTCTCAAAAGTCACCCATTCTTAGGAGAATCTTCTCCTTGGCCTTAGATATTTTGAAACAAGACTCTTTTCCAAAGAATCTATCATCTTCGTGCCTCATCAAATGAGCTGAATACTTCATACAAGAAGAATAAGTTCAGCTCAGATTTACCAAGAAATTAAGTTATTACTAATTTCAAATCCAATAGTAATTTCCCATTGAGGGGTTTTGGGGTTTTGGGGTTTTGGGGTTTTGGGGTTTTGGGGTTTTGGGG